TCAAATGTGTGATTGGATCCTGGATTGTTTGTTGAATTATAATATTATCAATTTTGAGTCAGGTTCACACCTTCTGAATGAGAATTAAATTCGGGAGGGGCGTGACAGGACGTCCCGACATCTCCACATCTTTCTTGAACCCAAGGAAGGCTTATATGTGATGACAATTTTTTCTCGATGCCTTAGTGCCAAGGCTCTCTCGACCTCGAGCTCCTCTTGCAAGGACTCAATCTAGCCGTTCAACACTGCCCCATGATATGCTTATTCAACTTCATGACATAACTGAGGAGCTCGATGTTGTAGATCCCCATGGAGTTGAGCTCCCCAACTTGACAAAGTAGCTCATCCTTCATCTAATGATTATGGCCCCAAATAGTCTTCAACTACTCACCCTGGCTAGAGATATGCTATCAGGCTTCGTTTAGCTTTGCCTTCAGCTCAGCCACCCGAGCCTCAAGCTTGATGGTGAGGACCAAGTCGCCCTTCTCCTTCTTTAGCTCCTCCACTTCATCACGAACGTTGTCGATCTCTACAACCCACTAGGAGATGACACTCCTAGCATCACATACACGATTGATCAGACCATGACATAATTGTGATGCTGCAAAAAAGATAGAACTCGAGGGATAGCCAAGAAGTGATCACAATGAGTAAAACCTGACCCACAAGTTAGAGGTACTTATCACCACTTCATTCATGAAGGTCGTATTGATTATAGCCTTCCAGGCCATGAGAACACATAGTTATTAAGGAGCATGGTGAGCTTTGATAATACTGACTTGAAATCTTATTATTGTCCTAAATGCACTGGTCGATTTGTAGATTTGTAGGTTAGCTTAAGTATGAAAGGGATCGATCAAAACTCTCTAATCTTATCTTGGTATATATTATTACTAATTTTTTCTCAGATAATACGAATCATCGTGTTGACATAATACATTATATATAAAAATACTTTTGACCATTAATACTACTGTTCATACAAACATAAATATAATACAAAATAAAAGAGTCAAAAAAAGGTTTAAGATAATGTAAAAGGGGTCAAATTAAGTATTAAATGCTCTAAAAATGGTAAAAAAATAATTAAAATAATAATTCCTTTTGACATATTTGTACTCACGAAAATAAGAGAAAAAGAGTAATAATCATATAATAATAATCTTTCACGATTAATCTGGTACCTATAAAAACTTTACAATAATGAGTATAAAAAAAAGTGTCATGATCAAATTATAGCGAGTGTTTTCTACTATCTCGAACATCACAGTAGGGCATAGTAATGACACCGGTTATATCATAGATATATCTCGGATTCTTCGAATCAAACATGATTCATTGAATATTCATCATAGCCGTATATGATTAAAATCATGGCTTCTAAAATCATGCGTCATTTTAATAAGAAAAATCTTAAAATTAAGAATTAGAAAAATCAGATTATGATGGTTCAATGTGGGCCTGAATGTATTAGACCGAACTCGATCGGGTTAAATTGTGATGGGTTATGCCGATCTTGCCCCTCGTGGAACCCTAGCGGAGGGACGTTCAAATAGCTGGTCCGCGTCGGCCGCCTATCTCCCGGACTCGGTTCGTGTTCCCACAGTGGGAGAGGAGAGGAGAGGAGAGGAGAGGCGAGAGATGGTGTCGCTGAAGCTCCAGAAGCGGCTCGCCGCGAGCGTCCTCAAGTGTGGGAGGGGAAAGGTGTGGCTCGACCCCAATGAGGTCAACGAGATCTCCATGGCCAACTCCCGTAAGGCGTCCTCCTCCACTTCCGATTTGTGACCGTTATCGTGCTCTCTTAATTCTCGGCTATCGACCGTGTTCTTGCTTCTTTTTGCCTCGATCTGAGACCAGCCGCGCGTTTCCGAGTTCTTGCTCGAATGATCCTGTCGAGATGACAATGATACTCCCGTGTTATTCTAAGCGTTGCTTTTGTTCGTGGCGAATTTTATTTGGTTCTGTGAACGTTCGCCCGTTAATAGGTTCTCTGTTCTGGGTCGTCCTTTTCGTCTTTTGTGCTTGAACATAGAGGATCTACGTTGTTCGAGGACCTGTGTTTTGGAACTATTTTGTGTTGTTATTGCTCCGGCAATCCTTTGCTTTTTGGTCTTAGCGTTGCATGTTCACTAGCTTGTTGTTTTTCTACGATCGCAGTCGAAAATGGTTTCTGTCTATTGTCTTTCATGCTGTGTGTGCCACTTGTGTTGTGAGTATCATTATTAGTTTACCTATTTCGCGTAGCTTATTCTCCTGATGCTGCTTCCAATTCGTCATCGTGTGAGCTTTGAGACATCTTCATACATACCGTCTTTGTTGACGGTTTAGTACTGTTGTAAAGTTGTTTCAATATCTAAGTTAGGTGATAGGAAATTATTATAACCACTGTATAATGGATTTATCTGATACCGAATATTGAGTATTGATTGGAGTAGTGTGGCAACAAACGTCATTTCTTGGTGGTCTACTAAAATCTGTACCACTGATATTCCATAAGGTAGGGGGATGGTGATGGAACAATAGTCTCCTTGGTGAAATGCGCACAACATAACTAAACATTTGAAGAAGACCAAATCAAACTAATTTAATCAACAGAATAAAAAGCTAAATCCATTAGTTGTTCAACCTGTTTAATAAAGTGGTCTGATCAAGTTTGGCATCGAAGTTGGCATGTCTATCATGCTTTTGACATGATTTGATTGCTTTTAACCTGATCGACCTGAGAATGAATATGAACATCACTCACTTCAATAACATTATTTTCTGTAAAAATAAATTTTATTATCTATTATTGATGATTTTTTAAAATAAATTTCTCTTCAAATTATCTGTATGATATTGCCACCAGAATGCTTCTTTGAAGGCTGTTTCATTTTTCAATTTTGTGGTATGCCGTTTTATTCAGCTAAAATTGGTAACACTAGTCGACCTTGGCGTTGACAGGACTCAATCTGAATCCTAGTCTACTTGAACCCAGAATTCTGCAAGTTTTGGTTTCATGAGGAGAATATGATTGTCAAGAAAGGGATTGGGATGTGACAAGAAAACTGTGGCCGGAGAAACAACCGATCGGGGTATGGCGTTAGTGGTTGTAGATGGTAGGCAATATATGTACCATGAGATATGAACTTGGAGAAGCAACCCCTTTAACTGTTTTCATTTCTCCCTGTCCAAACATCATTGGTCATGGAAAGGAGGATTGAACTTTCGGTCTTACAAGATGAATTTATTAAAGCTTTAATTTATCTTGATGATTAGCTAATTGCATATAATAAATATTTTCCTTCTGCATAAGAACTTTCTTGATATTTGCAACTGCCATCTATTGTCACTGATGAAATGTGATGGTTTTGCAATGCAGGCCAAAATGTTAGAAAGCTTGTGAAGGATGGTTTTATCATCAGGAAGCCAACCAAGATTCACTCACGGTCTCGTGCAAGGAGGGCACTGGAAGCAAAGAGAAAAGGGCGACATTCTGGATATGGTATTAATTTTCATTCTAGTCCATCCAGTGATTGCAAAAGGCGCTCGGGCGCTCGCCTAGGCGCTCGGGCGAGGCGAGGCGAGGCCCGAGCGCCTCGCTAATGTCCCAGGCGGCGCGCTTCAATCAGGCGCCGCCTGGGCGCTCGCCCGAGCCCAGGCGCTGGGCGCTTCGGGCGAGCGCCTGGGTAAACTGAACCAGAATTTTAGGTCTGGTTCAGTCCTGGTTCGGTTGTTAGTTGGTTCAATCGAACCAACTAAACTAATATAACCCCAACCCTAA